AGGTGAGTATTTACACACACACACACACACACACACACACACACCACACACACACACCACACACACACACATACACATACACATACACACACACACCACACACACACACACACACACACACACACACACACACACACACACACACACACACACACACAGAAGGGAGAGGAGGAGGTGGTGTAACTTTGCTACTAAGAGAAGGTTGGAGTTTCGAAGAGATGGTAATTCAGAACTGTGAAGGTTTCAGTGACTACATATCAGGCACCATAGCAACTGGAGGACAGAAAATTATAGTAGTAGTCATATATAACCCCCCACCGAATGACAGAAGACCCAGACAGGAATATGATAGAAACAACTTGGCCACCATCAATATAATAGAGAGAGCAGCTTCTGTGGCTAGCAGGAATGGATCCAGGCTACTAATCATGGGAGACTTCAACCATGGAAAGATAGATTGGGGGAACAGAGACCCACATGGAGGCCCAGACACACGGAGAGCTAAGCTGCTGGATGTGGCAACAAGAAACTTTCTAAGTCAACACGTCAAGGAACCGACTAGAACGAGAGGAGGGGATGAACCAGCCTTGCTTGATCTGATATTTACCCTAAATGAGTCGGATATAAGGGAAGTTAAGTTGGAAGCCCCCTTGGGAATGAGTGATCATAGTGTATTGAGCTTTGAGTACCTGGTTGAGTTAGGAATTATCACCCCCAAAAAAGAACTGGGAAACAAAGGGCTGGCGTACCGAAAGGGAAACTATGAGGAGATGAATAAATTCCTATGGGATATACATTGGGACACAGAACTCGGAACCAAGTCCGTACAAGACATGATGGACTATGTCACCCAAAAATATCAGGAGGCTGTAAGCAGGTTTGTCCCAGCCCAACAGGAAAAAACAGAGAAGCAAAGGAAGAATCCGTGGTTTAATAAGGAATGTATGAAAGCAAAGGAGCTGAACAAAAGGGCACGGAGGAACTTCCGTAATAACAGAACACCAGAAAGTAGAGAGAGATACCAGAGAACCAGGAACGAGTATGTTAGTGTGAGAAGAGCAGCTGAGAAAAGATATGAAAATGTTATAGCTAATAAAGCCAAGACCGAACCAAAGCTACTACACAGTCACATCAGGAGAAAGACAACAGTGAAGGAACAGGTGATGAAACTTAGGGTGGGCGAGGACAGGTACTCAGAGAATGACAAAGAGGTGTGTGAAGAACTCAACAAAAGGTTCCAGGAGGTCTTTACAATAGAACAGGGAGAAATCACGACGCTAGGAGAGGTGGCAGCAAACCAGGTGACCTTGGAAAGGTTCGAAATTACAAGAGATGAGGTCAAGAAGCACCTATTGGAGCTGGATGTGAGAAAAGCTGTTGGGCCGGATGGAATCTCACCATGGGTATTGAAAGAGTGTGCAGGAGCACTTTGCTTGCCACTCTCCATAGTGTATAGTAGGTCACTGGAAACGGGAGACCTACCAGAAGTCTGGAAGACTGCTAATGTAGTACCAATATTTAAAAAGGGTGACAGGCAAGAGGCACTGAACTACAGGCCAGTGTCCTTAACTTGTATACCATGCAAGGTGATGGAGAAGATTGTGAGAAAAAACCTAGTAACACATCTGGAGAGAAGAGACTTCGTGACAACCCATCAACATGGGTTCAGTGAGGGTAAATCTTGCCTTACAGGCTTGATAGAATTCTATGATCAGGTGACAAAGATTAAGCAAAAAAGAGAAGGATGGGCGGACTGCATTTTTTTGGACTGTCGGAAAGCCTTTGACACAGTACCCAATAAAAGGTTGATGCATAAGCTGGAGAAACAGGCAGGAGTAACTGGTAGGGCGCTCCAGTGGATAAGGGAATACCTAAGCAATAGGAAGCAGAGAGTTATAGTGAGGGGTGAGACCTCAGAATGGCGTGAAGTCACCAGTGGAGTCCCACAGGGCTCTGTGCTTGGACCTATCCTGTTTCTGATATACGTGTGTGTGTGTGTGTGTGTGTGTGTGTGTGTGTGTGTGTGTGTCTGTGTGTGTGTGTGTACTCACCTAGTTGTACTCACCTAGTTGTGCTAAATTTCTGATCTCCCAGAGGGTATAGACTCATTCCTCTCAATGTTTGCTGACGACGCCAAAATTATGAGAAGGATTAAGACAAAGGAGGACAGCTTGAGGCTTCAAGAAGACCTGGACAAGCTGCAGGAATGGTCGAACAAATGGATGTTAGAGTTTAACCCAAGCAAATGTAATGTAATGAAGATAGGGGTAGGAAGCAGGAGACCAGATACAAGGTATCACTTGGGAGATGAAATACTTCAAGAGTCAGAGAGAGAGAAAGACCTGAGGGTTGATATCACGCCAGACCTGTCCCCAGAAGCTCATATCAAGAGGATAACATCAGCAGCATATGCCAGGTTGGCTAACATAAGAACGGTCTTTAGAAACTTGTGTAAGGAATCTTTCAGAACATTATATACCACATATGTCAGACCAATCCTGGAGTATGCAGCTCCAGCATGGAGTCCATATCTAGTCAAGCATAAGACTAAACTGGAAAAGGTTCAAAGGTTTGCCACCAGACAAATACCCGAGCTGAGAGGTGTGAGCTACGAGGAGAGACTACGGGAAATGAACCTCACTTCGTTGGAAGACAGAAGAGTTAGGGGGGACATGATCACCACATTCAAGATTCTCAAGGGAATCGACAGGGTTGATAAAGACAGGCTATTTAACACAAGGGGCAATCGCACTAGGGGACACAGGTGGAAACTGAGTGCCCAAATGAGCCACAGAGATATTAGAAAGAACTTTTTTAGTGTCAGAGTGGTTGATAAATGGAATGCATTAGGAAGCAATGTGGTGGAGGCTGACTCCATACACAGTTTCAAGTGTAGATATGATAGAGCCCAATAGGCTCAGGAACCTGTACACCTGTTGATTGACGGTTGAGAGGCGGGACCAAGGAGCCAGAGCTCAACCCCCGCAAGCACAACTAGGTGAGTACAACTAGGTGAGTACACACACACACACAGACACACACACACACACACACACACACACACACACACACACATCTGTGTGTGTGTGTGTGTACACACAAACTAGGTGGGTACAACTAGGTGAGTACACACACACACACACACACACACACACACACACACACACACACACAGTCTGTGTGTGTGTGCGTGTACACACAAACTAGGTGGGTACAACTAGGTGAGTACACACACACACACACACACACACACACACACACACACACACACACACACACACACACACACACACACACACACACACACCCAGACACACAGACACACACACAGACACACACACACACACCCAGACACACACACACACACACACACACACACACACACACACACACACACACACACACACACACACACACACACACACACACACACACACACACACACACACACACACACACACACACACACTCAGACACACACACACATACACACACACACACACACACACACACACAGACACACACACACACACAGACACAGACACACACACACACACACAGACACACACACACACACAGACACACACACACACACACACACACACACACACAGACACACACACACACACACACACACACACACACACACACACACACACACACACACACACACACACACACACACACACACACACACACACACACACAGAAGGATTAAAACAGAAGAGGACTGTTTGAGGCTTCAAGAAGACCTAGACAAGCTGAAGGAATGGTCGAACAAATGGTTGTTAGAGTTTAACCCAACCAAATGTAATGTAATGAAGATAGGTGTAGGGAGCAGGAGGCCAGATCCAAGGTATCATCTGGGAGAGGAAATTCTTCAGGAGTCAGAGAAGGAAAAAGACTTGGGGGTTGATATCACGCCAGACCTGTCTCCTGCAGCACATATCAAGCGGATAACATCAGCAGCATATGCCAGGCTGGCCAACATACGAACGGCATTCAGAAACTTGTGTAAAGAATCATTCAGAACTTTGTATACCACATATGTCAGGCCAATCCTGGAGTATGCAGCCCCAGCATGGAGTCCATATCTAGTCAAGGATAAGACTAAACTGGAAAAGGTTCAAAGGTTTGCCACCAGACTAGTACCCGAGCTGAGAGGTATGAGCTACGAGGAGAGACTACGGGAATTAAACCTCACTTCGCTGGAAGACAGAAGAGTTAGGGGGGACATGATCACCACATTCAAGATTCTGAAGGGGATTGATAGGGTAGATAAAGACAGTCTATTTAACACAAGGGGCACACGTACTAGGGGACACAGGTGGAAACTGAGTGCCCAAATGAGCCACAGAGATATTAGAAAGAACTTTTTTAGTGTCAGAGTGGTTGACAAATGGAATGCATTAGGAAGTGATGTGGTGGAGGCTGACTCCATACACAGTTTCAAGTGTAGATATGACAGAGCCCAATAGGCTCAGGAATCTGTACACCTGTTGATTGACGGTTGAGAGGCGGGACCAAAGAGCCAGAGCTCAACCCCCGCAAACACAACTAGGTGAGTACAACTAGGTGAGTACACACAGACACACATACACACACACACACACACACACACACACACACACACACACACACACACACACACACACACAGTCTGTGTGTGTGTGCGTGTACACACAAACTAGGTGGGTACAACTAGGTGAGTACACACACACACACACACACACCCAGACACACAGACACACACACAGACACACCAACCTTCGTGTTCGTCTCCGTCATGACAAAGGGGGAAACATCCGTCACAACTTCAAAGACGCAGACACAGGCGGGGAGACCTGAACGAGGTTAGTCGGGGGGTGGTGGTGGGGGAGGGGCCGGGGGGAGAGAACAGGGAGGGGGGGAGTGGTGGGGGAATGGGGGGGGGCTTGTGAGTAGAGGAGCGGAGAAAGGTGGCTGGAGAGAAGAGGAGAAAAGCGAAAAGGTACTGGAGAATGATTAGGAGCAGGGGAGAAGTGGGAAACCTCAGGAACACCAGCCAAAGCCCAGGAACACCAGCCAAAGCTCAGGAACACCAGCCAAAGCCCAGGAACACCAGCCAAAGCTCAGGAACACCAGCCAAAGCCCAGGAACACCAGCCAAAGCCCAGGAACACCAGCCAAAGCCCAGGAACACCAGCCAAAGCCCAGGAACACCAGCCAAAGCCCAGGAACACCAGTCAAAACCTCAGGAACACCAGCCAAAGCTCAGGAACACCAGCCAAAGCCCAGGAACACCAGCCAAAGCCCAGGAACACCAGCCAAAGCTCAGGAACACCAGCCAAAGCTCAGGAACACCAGCCAAAGCCCAGGAACACCATCCAAAGCCTAGGAACACCAGCCAAAGCTCAGGAACACCAGCCAAAGCTCAGGAACACCAGCCAAAGCCCAGGAACACCAGCCAAAGCTCAGGAACACCAGCCAAAGCCCAGGAACACCATCCAAAGCCCAGGAACACCAGCCAAAGCTCAGGAACACCAGCCAAAGCCCAGGAACACCATCCAAAGCCCAGGAACACCAGCCAAAGCTCAGGAACACCAGCCAAAGCCCAGGAACACCAGCCAAAGCCCAGGAACACCAGCCAAAGCCCAGGAACACCAGCCAAAGCTCAGGAACACCAGCCAAAGCTCAGGAACACCAGCCAAAGCTCAGGAACACCAGCCAAAGCTCAGGAACACCAGCCAAAGCTCAGGAACACCAGCCAAAGCCCAGGAACACCAGCCGAAGCTCAGGAACACCAGCCAAAGCTCAGGAACACCAGCCAAAGCCCAGGAACACCAGCCAAAGCCCAGGAACACCAAGAGATGGGCTCCAAACATAAACTCTGGTCCCAGACAGTTCCAAATGAGGCTGGGACTGTTGACTGGCTTTCTCTCACACCATTCTTGTCACGACCGCCCACCATCCTCCACGACCACTAGTTCTGACCAAGGCCGGCCACAAATTCTGACCAAGGCCGGCCACAAATTCTGACCAAGGCCGGCCACAAATTCTGACCAAGACCGGCCACAAATCCTGACCAATATTATCCAAGTCGGTAGACTCACCCGAACACCCCTCACAAGTTACGAGCAAATTGGAACCTCTAATATGCTCGCTCGCAAATTTTGACCAATGTCGTTGACGCTTACAATTTTGGCCATATATTGTCCGCGGCCCAGAATTCTGACCCATGCCAGCGACGCTATCAACTCTGAAGCAGAGCTGTTCACGCCCACATGTGCTATACCACTCACAATGGGAGTGAACACTGCTATACCACTCATCCTGGGAGTGAACACAGTGCTATACCACTCACCCTGGGAGTGAACACACTGCTATACCACTCACCCTGGGAGTGAACACACTGCTATACCACTCACCCTGGGAGTGAACACAGTGCTATACCACTCACCCTGGGAGTGAACACAGTGCTATACCACTCACCCTGGGAGTGAACACACTGCTATACCACTCACCCTGGGAGTGAACACACTGCTATACCACTCACCCTGGGAGTGAACACAGTGCTATACCACTCACCCTGGGAGTGAACACACTGCTATACCACTCACCCTGGGAGTGAACACACTGCTATACCACTCACCCTGGGAGTGAACACACTGCTATACCACTCACCCTGGGAGTGAACACAGTGCTATCCCACCAAACACACATCGAAACTACGACGTTGGTACAACGTTCGAACAAGTTTTAACCCTTCCTAACCAGTTATAACAACCAATATAGCAAGTTGTAACAACGTTCTAATACGTCATAAACACGTTAAGCCAAGATGTAACAACTTTATTACAAGTTGTAACAAGCGGAAAATAGAGACGGTTTCGGTTTGTGTTTGCAGGGATACCACTCACCCTGGGAGTGAACACAGTGCTATACCACTCACCCTGGGAGTGAACACAGTGCTATACCACTCACCCTGGGAGTGAACACAGTGCTATACCACTCACCCTGGGAGTGAACACACTGCTATACCACTCACCCTGGGAGTGAACACACTGCTATACCACTCACCCTGGGAGTGAACACACTGCTATACCACTCACCCTGGGAGTGAACACACTGCTATACCACTCACCCTGGGAGTGAACACAGTGCTATACCACTCACCCTGGGAGTGAACACACTGCTATACCACTCACCCTGGGAGTGAACACAGGACTGTCCAGACGCAGCTGGGATTTGTCCAATTATTGCAATTGAAGGACACATTGTCAAGCAAGGGAGTTGTTGTGTCATCTCAAGGTCTGTTCCCCTCTTTTTATCGCATGTGTGTCTGTGTTTGTGTGTGTGTTTGTGTGTATGTGGGTGTGTGTGTGTGTGTGTGTATGTATGTGTATGAGTGTACTCACCTACTCTCTATACTGAGTGGTATAGCAGTGTGTTCACTCCCAGGGTGAGTGGTATAGCAGTGTGTTCACTCCCAGGGTGAGTGGTATAGCAGTGTGTTCACTCCCAGGGAGAGTGGTATAGCACTGTGTTCACTCCCAGGGTGAGTGGTATAGCAGTGTTCACTCCCAGGGTGAGTGGTATAGCAGTGTTCACTCCCAGGATGAGTGGTATAGCAGTGTTCACTCCCAGGGTGAGTGGTATAGCAGTGTGTTCACTCCCAGGATGAGTGGTATAGCAGTGTTCACTCCCAGGATGAGTGGCATAGCAGTGTGTTCACTCCCAGGATGAGTGGCATAGCAGTGTTCACTCCCAGGATGAGTGGTATAGCAGTGTGTTCACTCCCAGGGTGAGTGGTATAGCACTGTGTTCACTCCCAGGATGAGTGGTATAGCAGTGTTCACTCCCAGGATGAGTGGTATAGCAGTGTGTTCACTCCCAGGATGAGTGGTATAGCAGTGTTTACTCCCAGGATGAGTGGTATAACAGTGTTCACTCCCAGGATGAGTGGTATAACAGTGTTCACTCCCAGGATGAGTGGTATAGCAGTGTTCACTCCCAGGATGAGTGGTATAGCAGTGTTCACTCCCAGGATGAGTGGTATAGCAGTGTTCACTCCCAGGATGAGTGGTATAGCAGTGTTCACTCCCAGGGTGAGTGGGGTATAGCACTGTGTTCACTCCCAGGGTGAGTGGTATAGCAGTGTTCACTCCCAGGATGAGTGGTATAGCAGTGTTCACTCCCAGGATGAGTGGTATAGCAGTGTTCACTCCCTGGGTGAGTGGTACAGCACTGTTTTCACTCCCAGGGTGAGTGGTATAGCACTGTGTTCACTCCCAGGGTGAGTGGTATAGCAGTGTTCACTCCCAGGGTGAGTGGTATAGCACTGTGTTCACTCCCAGGGTGAGTGGTATAGCAGTGTTCACTCCCAGGGTGAATGGTATAGCAGTGTTCACTCCCAGGGTGAGTGGTATAGCAGTGTTCACTCCCAGGGTGAGTGTTATAGCAGTGTGTTCACTCCCAGGGTGAGTGGTATCTTGAGGTTATCTTGAGATGGTTGAGCTTTGTCTCTTTGGTCCCGCCTCTCAACTGTCAATCAACTGGTGTACAGGTTCCTAAGCCTATTAGTCTCTATCATATCTACATTTTAAGTTGTATATGGAGTCAGCCTCCACCACATCACTGCCTAATGCATTCCATCTGTTAACTAATCTGACACTGAAAAAAGTTCTTTCTTACGTCACTGTGGATAATTTGGGTTCTCAGCTTCACCAGTGTCCCCTTGTTCGCATACCACCCGTGTTAAACAGTTTATTTTTATCTACCCTGTCGATTCCTCTTAGAATTTTGTAGGTAGTGATCATGTCTCTCCGAGCTCTCCTGTCTTCCAGCGACGTGAGGTGCAGTTCACGCAGCCTTTCTTCGTAACTCATGCCTCTTAGTTCTGGGACTAATCTAGTGGCATACCTCTGAACATTTTTCAGCTTCGTCTTGTGCTAGTTAAGGTACAGGCTCCATGCTGGGGCCGCATACTCCAAGATTGGTCTTACATATGTGGTATAAAAGGTTCTGAAAGATTCCATACACAGGTTTCTGAAGGCAGTTCTGATGTTAGCCAGCCTCGCATACGCCGCAGACGTTATTCTTTTGATATGGGCTTCAGGATACAGGTTTGGCGTGATAACTATTAGACCTTTCTATCTGTCCGTTTCATTAAGAACTTCATCTGTCATTCATTATCCTATGTCTGTCCTCCTGTTGCCTCTGCCTTGTTTCATTACCTTACCCTTACTTAGATTGAACTTTAATAGCCATTTGTTGGAGCATTCGTTCAGTTTTCTAGGTTATCTTGTAGCCTCATACTATCTTCCTGTCTTCATCCTCTCATAATTTTTACATCATCAGCAAACAATGAGAGGAATGATTCTATACCCTCTGGGAGATCATTTACATATATCAGAAACAGTATAGGTCCAAGGACTGATCCCTGCGGGACTCCACTGGTGACGCCTCGCCACTTCGAGACCTCACCCCTCACAGTGACTTGCTGTCGTTTATTGCATAAGTACTCCCTTATTTAATGGAGTTCTTTCCCTTTCACTCCTGCCTGCATCTCCATCTTGTGCACTAGTCTCTTATGTGGTACTGTGTCAAAGGCTTTCTGGCAATCCAAAAATATGCAATCTGTCCACCTTCTCTTTCTTGCCAGATTTTTGTTGCCTGATCATAGAATTCAATTAATCCTGTGAGACATGATTTGCCATCCCTGGACCCATGGTGGTGATGTGTCACAAAGTTCCTTCGCTCTAGATGTTCCACTAGCTTTATCCACACAGTCTTCTCCGTCATCTTGCATAATGCATGATATGCAAGTTAGAGACACTGGCTTACAGATCAATACCTCCTGTCTATCACCTTTCCTGTATATTGGTACTACTTTAGTCGTCTTCCAAGTTATTTGGCAGTTCACCTGTTACCAGTGATTTGTTATACACCATGGAGAGGAGCAGGCACAGTGCTTCTGCTCCTTCCTTTAGTATCTATGGTGAGATTCCATACGGACATATAGCCTTTGTCACATCCAACTCTAGCAGATGCTTCCTCACCTCCCCACTGGTAATCAGAAACTCCTCTAGTGAAGTCTGGTTAGATATTCCCTTCTTATCTCTGAAATTTCTCCTTACTCTAATGTGAAGACCTCTTGGAATTTCTTATTGAGTTTCTCTCACATTTCCTTGTCGTTTGTAATGAATCTGTCTGCCCCTGTCCTCAGTTTCATTACCTGTTCCTTCACAGTTGTTTTTCTCCTGATGTGGCTGTGCAGCAATTTAGGTTGAGTCTTTGTCTTGCTCGCTATATCGTTTTTGTAACGTCTTTCTGCCTTCCTTCTCACCCTAACGTATTCATTTGTGGCATTCTGGTATCTTTCTCTGCTCTCTAGTGTCACAATATTTCTATAGTTTCTCCACGCTCTTTGACTTGCTTTGCTAGCTTACACCTCTGATTAAACCATGGGTTTCTCGTCTGCATTTCCGTTTTTATTTTTGGACTGGGGCAATTTTCTTGTCTTCTCATAGATTCCCTTCCGGAATGCCAGCCTTTTGTTTTCGGGTTCCTTCCTTCCATTTTCCTTATGTTGCAGTTGCTCAGAGTGAAGACTAGGTCGAATCTCGCTGGTTCATCGTTGCCTCTCATTCACGTTGGTCCCCTGACATGCTGGCTTAAAAGGTTTCTTGTCGTTACGTTCAATAGGTTAGCTTTCCATGTTTCCACACCTCCATGCAGTTCCATGTCCTCCCAGTCTGTCCTTCAGTGATTAATGTCCCCCATGAGAAGCAGATAGGATCGATTTCTACAGGCAGCAGAGGCTGCTCTCTCAATTATAGTGATAACTGTGTTTGCGTACTCACCTATTTGTACTCACCTATTTGTCTGCAGGATCGAGCATTGACTCTTGGATCCCGCCTTTCGAACCATCGGTTGTTTACAGCAATGACTCCGGTCCTATTTCCCTATCATACCTAGTTTTATAATTATGAATGGAATTTGCTTCCATAACCTGCTCCTTAAATGCATTCCATTTT